TGCCAGACATAGAAGCTCCAAAAAACACAAAGACTTGATGGAACAAAAGCATAATGAAAATGATTAAAACCATACTATGATTATAACATTTATACCCTTATATGTTATAATTATATTTCAATATTTACTTTTATTTCTTGGAAAAAAGTATTTAAAGAAATAAAAACTATATATATTATAATAGAAATGATGGAAACCGAAATCAATAATTATATCAATAAAAAATGCTACGATTGTTGCCACTTTAAAAAAGAAAATATGGAATTATATAAATTGAATTTACCTAATGGAATAGTTAATAATATTATTGATTATTCTTTGGACGAAGAAAATATATGTAGAACTTGTAGAAGATGGAGACGATATCAAAATATAATAGAAAATTGTTTGGCGTTTAAAATATAGATGAAAGAAATGTTGAAGATGAAATATTGATATTTTTAACTGTGTATGAAAGACCACCTTACGATTATGTTAAACAGTTTCTTAAAATCAGTAAGAAAAAGTGTGAAATGATTAATGACATATTATGGATGTTGATTTATTATAGTAAACCCGGCGTTGATGTAAAAAAAGTCATAAAATCATATATTGAAAGTGAACAGTTTAATGTTAAAAATACAGTGAGAGATATAAATCTTATTTTTAAAATGATGTATGAAAGAGGTAAGATATATCAATTAAATTATTATCCCGAACTTAAATTATAATCATAATATAATAATAACATGTAAAATATTATATGTTATAATTATATTTCAATATGTAATTTTATTTCTTGTAAAAAGTATTTAAAGAAATAAACACTATATGTATTACAGTGGAAATGTTATTTAATTATTCAAAGTGTGAATGTTGTACAACTAAAAGGAATGATGTTAATACAACATTGTATAAGTTATTACCTGCTAATCTGTGTAGTAAAATAAGTGAATATGATGTATATTGTAATCAATGCTGTATAACAAGAGACCTTGAAAAGATTTTTGTTGAAAAATATAAGGATAAGGGATATACAAAGTTTCAATTACAATTGAAATTCTTTATGAAATATCACAAAAGATTTCCTGTATATTTTTGTCATAAAATTGCAAGAAAGTCATTTGAAAAAGAAATTGATGAGTTCTTCAATAATAAAGATTTGATTAAAAGGTTTGGAGGGACAAGCGCAATTAAACCATATAAAGCATTTGTTAAAAAATTTCGACGCATGTTTGATGCGATTGATTGGCATTTATTAAGTAAAGATAAAATAAACGAGGTCTTGAATGAATTTAGAATAACTAAATATCATGTATGGTCTTACTACACCACTAAATATCAAGTATGGCTACTAGTTAATTTGTTTTTCTGGGAATATATTTATTCAATAATAGGAAAAGACAATATCAAATATATAGACATTGGCGATATTGATAAATATGTAGATTACATATTTGAAGACATTTTTCCTGACTATAAATGTAACCCATAATTATTAATCATACTATAATAATAACATTTATACCCTTATATGTTATAATTATAATGTAAGTATAGCGTTTTATATATTGAAGATAAAATCCTACAAGGGACACGCGAGCGTTAGCGAAGCTCGCAAGCTATGCGACCACGCCCCAAAAAAATATATGATGAAACTGATGAAACGAAGGAGGGAGTGATGTTGTTGCTGTTCTATTTTTTGTCCGGGAAATGGACAAATCGTTTTTAGACAGTTCGAATATTTTTTTGATGACAAATATTTTTTGCAATATATTTTGCAAAATTTATTTTTTTGAAATGGATGAGGCGAGGAGATTGAGGAAATGACATTTTGGAGGGTAGTTGGTGAAATGAATGAGGCGAGGAGAAAGGAGAAAAGGATGGCGAAAATTTTGGAAAAATGATGATAAAAAAACGGATGAGATGGACAGAAAGGAATGTAGAAAAATGATGAAAACGAATAAGGGTAGAAGATGGAAGATGAAAAAAAATGTAGGGTGGGGGGTATGTATGAAGCAATTTATTTGCGGGGCAAGGCCCTCCACTACTGATGGGCCCAACCAAGACTGCTTGCGTCTTGTGACTCTGTATAAAAAACTCAAACACACGTGGGTCTGCTTGACTATCTCGGACACTTAGCGCTGTAGTTGTTGTGTTGCGAATTGTGTGGTGAGTTGTGTGGTGTGCCACATGCTCAAATCACAGAAGTGACTACGTTTGAGCCATGCAAGCCGAAAGAACAGACTATCTTACTATCTATACCTGACTGTCCATCTATGTCTCTATCTATCAAGCTACCTATTTCTCGACCTTGCGAAGGTGCTGCGCCAACCACGAAATCTGAGACCGTTCCGGGACCGTTCCGCACCCGCCTGCGTGAAGGCGTCGCAACCAAGGTGGTTTGCGCACTGTCCGGAAGCCCAATTCACGCACAGAGTGCTGCGCCTGCCACGCAATTCAAACCTTGCGAAACCTTCGCGCGGCCGTGCCAATGGTCCCGTCTCCGCGACCGCTTCTGCATCTTGCTATCCCCTAGCTCGCAGAGAATGGATCCAGCACCTTGCGAAAGTGCTGCGCCTGCCACGAAATCTGCACTCGACCTTGCGAAAGTGCTGCGCCTGCCACGAAATCTATACTTGACCTTGCGAAAGTGCTGCGCCTGCCACGCAACTCAAACCTTGCGAAACCTTCGCGCGGCCGTGCCAATGGGCCCGTCTCCGAACCCGTTCCGGGACCGTTCCAAGACCGTTCCGAGACCGCGTCCGTACAGGCGTCGCGACCGAGGTGGTTTGCGCACTGTCCGGAGCCCAATTCACGCACAGCGCCAGCGTTTCTGCATCTTGCTATCTCCCAGCTCGCAGAGAGTGGACGCAGCACCTTGCGAAAGTGCTGCGCCTGCCACGAAATCTATACTTGACCTTGCGAAAGTGCTGCGCCTGCCACGCAATTCAAACCTTGCGAAACCTTCGCGCGGCCGTGCCAATGGGCCCGTCTCCGAACCCGTTCCGCACCCGTTCCGGGACCGTTCCGAGACCGTTCCGAGACCGCGCGTCGCGAGCCGAGGTGGTTTGCGCGCCGTCCGGAAGCCCAATTCACGCACAGCGCCAGCGTTTTCTGCATCTTGCCATCCCCCAGCTCGCAGAAAGTGGACGCAGCACCTTGCGAAAGTGCTGCGCCTGCCACGAAATCTATACTTGACCTTGCGAAAGTGCTGCGCCTGCCACGAAATCTATACTTGACCTTGCGAAAGTGCTGCGCCTGCCACGCAATTCAAACCTTGCGAAACCTTCGCGCGGCCGTGCCAATGGTCCCGTCTCCGAGAGACCGTTCCGAGAGGACCGTTCCGAGACCGTTCCGAGACGTTCCGAGACCGCCTCCGTACAGGCGTCGCGACCCGAGGTGGTTTGCGCACTGTCCGGAAGCCCAATTCACGCATGGCACCAACGTTTCTGCATCTTGCCATCCCCCAGCTCGCAGAAAGTGGACGCAGCACCTTGCGAAAGTGCTGCGCCTGCCACGAAATCTGTACTCGACCTCGCGAAAGTGCTGCGCCTGCCACGAAATCTATACTTGACCTTGCGAAAGTGCTGCACCTGCCACGCAATTCAAACCTAGCGAAACCTTCGCGCGGCCGTGCCAATGGTCCCGTCTCCGAGACCGTTCCGAGACCGTTCCGAGACCGTTCCGGGACCGTTCCGAGACCGCCTCCGTACAGGCGTCGCGACCGAGGTGGTTTGCGCACTGTCCGGAAGCCCAATTCACGCATGGCACCAACGTTTCTGCAACTTGCTATCCCCCAGCTCGCAGAAAGTGGACGCAGCACCTTGCGAAAGTGCTGCGCCTGCCACGAAATCTGTACTCGACCTCGCGAAAGTGCTGCGCCTGCCACGAAATCTATACTTGACCTTGCGAAAGTGCTGCACCTGCCACGCAATTCAAACCTAGCGAAACCTTCGCGCGGCCGTGCCAATGGTCCCGTCTCCGAGACCGTTCCGAGACCGTTCCGAGACCGTTCCGGGACCGTTCCGAGACCGCCTCCGTACAGGCGTCGCGACCGAGGTGGTTTGCGCACTGTCCGGAAGCCCAATTCACGCATGGCACCAACGTTTCTGCAACTTGCTATCCCCCAGCTCGCAGAAAGTGGACGCAGCACCTTGCGAAAGTGCTGCGCCTGCCACGAAATCTGTACTCGACCTCGCGAAAGTGCTGCGCCTGCCACGAAATCTATACTTGACCTTGCGAAAGTGCTGCACCTGCCACGCAATTCAAACCTAGCGAAACCTTCGCGCGGCCGTGCCAATGGTCCCGTCTCCGAGACCGTTCCGAGACCGTTCCGAGACCGTTCCGGGACCGTTCCGAGACCGCCTCCGTACAGGCGTCGCGACCGAGGTGGTTTGCGCACTGTCCGGAAGCCCAATTCACGCATGGCACCAACGTTTCTGCAACTTGCTATCCCCCAGCTCTCCTGATTTCAGCTTTTCTCGTAGCTTTTTTCGCGCACATCCATGTATCTTAAAGCTATCTATCTGTCAAGCTGGTTATATGTCAAAGCTATCTATCTGTCATGCTAGTCTTTGGAAAGCTATCTATGTGTTAAGCTGGCTATATGTCAAAGCTATCTATCTGTCATGCTGGCCTATTGGAAAGCTTTCTATCTGTCAAGCTAGCTATATGTCAAAGCTATCTATTTGTCATGCTAGCTACCTGTCATAGCTATATGTCAAAGCAGCTAGCTCATTTAGTTCCAGTACTACGGAAGTTTCTTGTTAAACTTCCTTTGATAAAACCATGTCATATCCCGATATCAACCCTTTACCATGTTAGTAGAGCCCATAATCCATAATCTCAACATGGGTGTGGGTCAACAATGGCCCAAAATGGAACCCTCGGTAATGGAACCAAGGACTAAAATCTGCGGTTTTCCGGTGGTCGAATTTTGATCCATAGCCACACCGCGCAAGTCCGCTGGGTTCTTTTTTGGGGCGCTGGGCGCTGCTCGTGTGGCCACCCGCGCACAGGGCGGTGAAGAAGAAGGTGGCGGCCCAGCTCAGCGTGGAGCTGGGCCTCGGCAGCTGCCTCCTGAGCTGCGCCTTGCATTGGCGGAAGTTGGAAGGGAAGGGCGGAAGGGCGCACAGCAAAGCGCCGGAAAGAAGGGGGGGGTGAAGGAGAAGCAACGAAAAAAATATAAAAAAATGGTGGTTTAACGTAAACTTTGGTGCAGTTTGCTTGCATGTTAGGACTTAAACTTTTTGCCAACTAATGGATTGTCCATTAAGGCACTAAAAGTTAAACTTTTAGCACGGGGGAGCAGAAAGCAACAGCGTAAAGGAGGGTGAACACGTTTGTTAGGGTGAACACTTTTGTTAGGTCTTGGGGTTGACAGAAAAATGAAACAGACTCTAAAACTAGCAACGGTAGTCTCTGTCCGCCCCGGATTGGGGCCAGGTAAGGACTAGAAGACGTTTGGGTGCGTGCGAATTTTGTGGGTCAACCTTTGTAGGGTATGAATCAAATACCCAGCCAGAACAGCACCACCAGGTAGGGGAAAGATTATGCTAAATCCACAAGATGCGCATCCAAACCCTCTTCTAGAAAAGGAGATTGTCCAAACAATGGTTTAGCGTTGGTAAGCTGATCCTAGCCCGGCATTCTGGTGATATTGATCAGGGGTCATCATGAAGCAGCGCTTGTTCCGAGCCTCTACTCAGATCACAAAAGGGTAGGCACCTGGTCAGGTTTCCTTTCGCCAGGTTTGCCACCTTTGTGCCAGGGGTTCCGGTGCAACCCTGAAATGCTACAAGAGCCGCTCCGTGATTGGAGTAAACCGTGTCGTGGCCAGTGAAATGTTTTTTCAGGCCGTACCTTTGCCACTGCCAATTGAAAAATGCGTAAAGACACTGGCCCCTTATTCTACCAGTATCAAAGTCACCCCCAAACGGTACACCCCAGTTCCTGACTTTGATATCCCCAAACATGGTCAAAGTAATGACCCCAGAGACATCGCAATGGAAGATCCCCCGCATCGCTTCAGGTTTGGGGATAGTACCTCAGCCAATGCAATGCAACAAGCATGCAACAAGCGCCAGTTCCAACCTGATTTGGGACCGGATGGCTTGGGCGAAGCTGCTTTCCGTGTTTGTTTTTCCATTTTGGCCTGTTAAGATTGTTGGTCTATCGCCGGAGTTGTTGTTTATCGCCTGTCTGGCGAAGCTGTGTTCAGTCTGGGGCGGTGGTTTGTCCCCAGCGAGCTGCTAGCTGAGTCAAGTATCGAACCCCGGGCAAGTGAAAATTGGCAAGCAACACTCTCAACCAAGAACATGTGCGGATTCTTTAAGAGTTTGGGCCCGCCCCAGGAATACCAATTGATTCCGACTCAGCAGGTCCGCAGGTTGGGGAGCACACGCTCAGGTTTGGTGCACCAGCGGAAGAAGCTGCTGCAGAATCTCCACTGTGACTTGCCGAAGCTATGAACTGTTCATGTTGTTGCGAACATGTGTGTGTGTGTGTGCGCGTGTTTCCCCGCTCAACATACAGTCATGACTTATAACGCCATATCACTTTCATGGACGCAGTGTTGGCATCCGGGATATTGATAAACTTGTGTTCCGTCGGTTGCAGGTGAAACGCTGGGCAGTACCCAGCAAATTCACCTGGCAAGCCTCCAGAAATGCATTGGCTTTGTGGGTTTCCTTCAGTTCATCAGGGAAATGGTCGGCAATAGCCATCTGCAAAGTAGATGGTCTGGGACAAATCGCTAAGGCAGATAGTCAACCCCTCTGCAAACCTTCAATGGAGTCAGTAGCAATTCAACTAAGCATCCTGAGATTTCCTCCTTGACTCACGCCCACGGAAGTCAGAATGTGATTGCAGACCAGATACCAGCTACTCGCAGACGGGGCAATAGCCGAAGTGACCCCCCCAAAGGTGTGAATCTTCTCGGGTTCCTGTGGGAAGATGGTTCAGGAGCCCGTCAGGTTCCACGAATTGGGAGCTATTTGTTGAGTCAATCAATCGGGGTTGTGAACCACGCGCTCAAACCCAGACCATCTAGGTACTGTAAAGCAGGTAATTGAAGTTGGCAGGGTTTGTGATTCCCAAAACACCATGTTGTCCAACCCAAACTCTGTTTTTTTTTGTTGACCTCCATTCTACCTTGGTTTATGGGCTCAAGAAACAGGTTGGGGCTCCTTATTGTACCCTTTGTATAAACTCTATCCGCCTAGTTCATAGCAAGCTCACCGATTCACGGGGGAGCAGCCTCATCATGATGTAGGTCCTCGAATTGCTCGGGGGTCCATTTCTTATTTCAGGTTTTGGAATCGTTGCAGAATTTGCATTTAGCATGCAACCACCTTAAACCCCTTCTTCCATGTCCTTCAAATAAAGCCGCAATTTGGGAGGATGTATATCTTCCCTTGGCGTTTCCCTGGCAAACGTCGTCCAATCCCCAGGTGAACCACAATCAAAACGCGGGTAAGTGAAGGCTAGTAAGGAACGATCCCAGCCATAAATAGCTGCGGCCGCTTTCTTAGTTCTTTACATTGGTTTTGGGTCGACCATTTTTTGTACCGTGTTTTGAATGTGACTCAGGTGACAAAGACTTCAACCACATCTTCCTCGTTCCGGAGCCTGCGGAAGACAACCCGCTGGGGGCCTGCAACAACGACATGGGGGACAGGGCTTGGGTTGGCATCGATTCGAAACCGTCAGCGAAGTGGGCGTTGGCCCCATGGTTATATTCCCACTTGGGAAACTGACAACCAACCAGGGGAAGTAGTTTATAACTATGCTTCCTGGGTACCCTGCTGGGGGAAGGGGGGAGCAGCGTTGGTTGCACAATTGTGTTTGGACACGCAGACTCCACAAGGGAATGCAGCATGCAACAGGAGGTTCTTGAAAGAAGAGAGTAGATGCAGTTGCAGTGTTTGAAGCTGATTGAAGAACTGCTTGGTCAGACCCTGGGAGAATGTCCAAGTCGCATTGTGCAGGTGCGGAACAACCAATACATCCACCAAATTTATATTAGTCTGGAGTCGACATTGATGCTCACCGAAAAGCAACGCTTGTGTCGGTGTGCGTGCTTGTGTTGTTTGTTTAATTAAACTGCTGTCAACCATGTGCAATATGTTCAAGCACAACCGCATTGTTCTTTGGTTTTCTAAATGGATACTTGTTGAGTGTGGGGCACCAAGGGAACACTTCCAATTTCGAAGCTTGGAGACATATCTTCAAGCAGAAGCCCTTCGATTTGCTTGTGATTTTGGTTTACGCACCTTGTTCCCTTGTTGGTTTTGAACTTTTTCTAGACTGGAAGATTGTGTTTTAAACACTTTTTCCCTTGTTGGTTTCAAAAGGATTTGTTCACTACTGGACATATCTTTTCTTTTTTCCCAAGGGGTCTGAGGCGCTCGCCTCCTTGGCCAGCGCTGGTTGGTCACCTGAAAGTAGCCTGTCCCGATGTGGGTGAAAACCGTTGTGGTTGATCCCATTTTGGTAGGTGAAGTCACCACCCATAGGGGGATTGGGATGTTCACCCATTTTTTTTTGGATTGGGATGTTCACTGCGGGTACGATTCGGATTTATACCCAGATGGCTCTAATGGCTACCCTGTCAGATATGGACCAACGCTTTTTGCCACGCCTGCGCGTCGCTCAGCGAGTGTTCGAATTGCAAAAGGATTTCTTATCCAAGTTACCGTGTGTGTAGTCCACCATCTCTGGCATGTCTTTTTGGACTTCTGTTGCATATAGCTAATTCGGTGGGCCAAAATCTAGAGTTTCAATCATTGTTGGAGACAAAGGCGCAGGTAGACCTTGCGTTTTCATCATCTTTCTTCAAGGATCTATGTTGCAGCACCTAGTTGACCGCAAAAAAACAACAACGAAGACTGGCCGCACGGCTGTTTTCTTCGGCGCAGGAGACGCTGGAGGTGGACTTTATGGAGGTGTTCGCAGCGGAAGAGAACTTTGTGGACGTGACCATGGGCGCCTCGGACGGTTATTTGGGCGCTGGGGCGTTGCTTTTTCTTCTCGGAGGCCTCATGATTTTGCCGTGATCACAGTCACCCCCTAAGTGGTGGGTTAATGTTGGCCTCATTATTTTACCATGATCAAACTCACCCCCTTGGTGGGTGAAAGGGAAACAACCAACCCACCCCGTGAGTGGTGGGTTAAAGGAAAACAACCAAATCCATTTTCTGACTTTGATGACCCCCAGAAATGTCAAAAGAATGACACCAGTTATGGAGGCCATAGATTCGTGGGCACGAATCTAGCTGCTGCCTTGTTGTCGCCTAGCGCCCTAAACCACAGTTTGCTGGGGCCGTGTCTTGGACGCCATAGATGTTGGCCCAAGTTTTAGTTGCTGCCTTTTTCGTCGCCTAGTGTCCCAAACCACGTTATGGACTTCTGGATGTTGGTACATTGATTGTCTTGCCACAGAATAACAAAAAGACGGTGGCGTACGACTTTGGTAGCTTGCAGATGATAGTCACGAGCATAGGTATCCTTTTTGGGTTAGTTTGGCTAACACTCGATGGGTTCCACTGGTTTAGATGGGTTTTCTGCCCCATTTACCAGGGAAACCCATCTATTTTGCCAAAAGGCCACCTATGGTCATGAGGGCAACTGGGTCTCATTGGGCCATCGCCATAGAGTCGTGGGATGGGGTCCAAGCCAGCCGTCGGATGGGACCTGTTCCATCGCGGCCCGGATGGGTTGAATCGGGGGTCAACATGAAGATCTCGAAGCTTGGGTCGGGGTCCTTGAGAAAAACACGCGGATGAAAACCCAAAGCCCGGTGAAAAGGTATGTGAACACCAAATAGAAGGTTTGCTTCAATCTGCCGGTTGATCCATTTGGGGACATGGCGAACCTCCATTTGCTTAAGAATATATATGTGTTTCCCTTGTTGGCTTTAAAAGGAATTCATCACTACTGGAAATATTTGTTATTTTCTCCTGGGGCCTTAGCCAAATGGAAGGGAGACAATTTATGTTTTCCCAAAGCCCGGGGTCTCTAAGGTTTCCCCATGGGGAATTCACATCTTTCGCCGAGCCTGGAGGCGAGTGAGGAACCCATTGGAACGGAGGAGCACTCAGAGACATTCCAAAGATAGTGGCGTTTGGGTAGGTCAATCAAGAAACTGCGTGACATATGGTGTGCGGTCCTTATTTCCTAGCGAACTCCACAAAAGAAAAGAAATGTTTGTTTGGGCCTGAATAGAGGTTCTTATAGTTTCCTTTTTTGAGTGTTTGCGGCATCCGACCACCCTTTTAAGCGAACACGTGTTCCGCTCTTGCCGGCTGTCCAAATTTCCTGACCGTTTCAACCGTACATCAGTTTTTTTTCAAGATTTGTTTTATTATTATGTGTTTTCCCGAAAAAGCATAAAGGAACATGTGAATGTCGCAGTTGCAATAATATGATTTTAGCAGGTCTACGAAATTATTCTATTCACTGCCGGCTGCCTGAAAGGTATGGTTGGTAGTTGACTGATTATCTTGCTGTGTAGTTGGAGGTGCAAAAAGCAAAGGCCGCAAGTGAAGAGGAAACCTGACAAGGGGTGCGCACACCATTGGGTTTGTAGTGGCCTTGAGCCCTAGAGCTTTCACCTGATTAGTTGTTTTTCTTTTTTTCTTATTCTTTTTTTCCCGCACACCATGCTTTGGGTTACTGACCCTTTTCAGTTTCGAAAGCACCTTGAGCCCGAGCTGGAGGTTGAAGAGACCTTAGGACAAACTCCTCCAATCCATGGAGGTCTCCTTATTGTAGCCCCAAGCCCCCAGCCGCTGAATTGGTGTCTTCCTGATGACCAACTTTCTTGTTCTGTTTCATGTCGTTATTGGAAGAAATCACCGGCAAAAGAGGAGGTGTTCTGCAACCCAACTCCCCTCCTTTCGCGCACATCCTCACTTTCACCCACCATGAAAAGCCCCAAGCACAACCACTCGCCCCGCTCACGGAAGTGAGTGCAGGAGCCCTCAGTATTTATTAAGCTTGGGGTGGCCAAAAGCCTGCGATTTTTTTCCGGTGTCCTTGAAAACCAAGCTCAAAAGCGGGGTCCTCCCAAAAGAAAAATACATCATAACAAAGCTTGAATTAAATACAAGGGGCCAAGCGACGCACATGATTCTCTCTTGAAGTCGGCATTCCGGAGCTTCGGGTGAGGCTTCTACGGGGTCGCCGAGCGGCTTGAGCTCAACGGGGTGCCGGGGGTAGTGGCACCACCACCCAAGCGCTTGGAGATGGTGGATCCCTCCTTCTGGAGCGGTCAGATCGAACAAAAACACGTCGCTCGAACGGGGGAGAACCAAGTGGGAAAACTGGGAAACTGGATGGTTGTGAAATCCATAGTCTCCCAGAAATGGTTGTTTCGGTTTTCCCATGGTCTACACTTGGGGTTGAAGTTGCCTTCTTCCTACCCCAAGGACCCCTGATAGTGACTCGTGACAAAATCAGGGATGGCCCACCTTGTCATCACAATTCGACGGCGGGTTCCTTCAGCTGTTAAGGTAACTTCCCTTACTCCCGGAGTTCGTGGATGGTACTCTATGCGAAGACCAGCTCAAAAGCGAGCAACAAGTTTGGGCTTTATTTGGCAAAACCAATTTAAATTTTCTCTTCCCCTAGCCCACCCCCCGCCCCCCCGCATTCCCTTAGATTCCTCAACAGAAAAACAAGAAACAGCGTCCAACGCTTCGTTTCACTGTCCGACTCCCAAACTTGTTTAGTTGATCCGAAAAACGACATTTGGTCAATGATAGTTCTTTCCCAAGCGTTGGGGACCCCTTCCCTGTGTGTGAAGCCTGCTCTCCCACGATACCCCTTGTTTTGGTCCCGGAATTTGGGTTTTGGATGTGGGACAAGTAGGCTTCCCAGGCCGTAAAAAATATGCTCCGGCTGGAAACCCGTCCAGAGCCCTTTGCTTTTTTGCGGTTTGCTCACTGTCACAGACCTCGAGCGAACCAGACGCCCAAAGCAGAAACTGACACACACGCCTTATTTGGCCCCTATTTACCCCTCAATTGCTCGTAGTTGCTCTCTTTTTTCGTTTTTTTTCTTGGGGGGGGATCGGGTGTCCTAAGGTCCAAAGCTGGATCCCCCAGTTGTTTCACGCACCCTTTCTTGAATTTTCCCGATGGTTTTCTTTTCGGCAAGTGTCTGCAAGAATTCAGATCCCAGAATGGAGAATGGTTGGGAAAAGCTAAACAAATTATGTTATTGTTATTATTCCTGTTTGCCATCATGTTTGTTTGGCGGGTCCTAGCCAATAGACTTTTAGTTTATTTAGAGTTTGAAGGGATATATGAAATGTTGAAATACCGCCGACAAGTACGGTTCACCCTCTAGCAAGGGAGGCAAAGAACCACCAAGGTTGAGGTTTGCCCCGGGGTAGGACGAACCCTTTCTCGCCGGGTTTCTGTTTCGCGCAGGAATCTTGGCACTCCGGAGGACTCCAGTCTGATGGCACAAAACCAATGGGCTGATTGGATTGGTTTGAAGGTTCGGGGCTGGTTTCTCATATCCCCTCTAGAACCAGGGGTTCAAATCCCAAAACCAATCCAAACCAACTTCGAGGCACCTGAACTGTGGATTCTAGGCAAACCAAAAGGCGGGTAGACAGAGGGAATGATAAACAAATTTGAATGGCGGAACGCGACAAAAGACCCTCAAACACTTGGAGCGCTGAAGGCGGTTTGGTAAATGGCTCTGAACAGAGAAACCTAGCTCTCACTTCCCCAATGTCTAGTCAACTTGCTTGGGTTAGTTTGGACCATTTGCGTGGCACACCAAGAGTTCGGATCGTGCGGCCGGCCAGTGCCTTGCTCATTGACCAAGCAAACTCAGTTTGGTGTTGATGGAAAAGAAGAAGTGCGAGCTTGGCAACGAAGCATGTTATTTGGGCGAAGAACCATGGCGACGTCACCAGGGGTTTGCAACGTCACGCATGATGAAGCTTCCTTTCAATCAGAAACCTTGTGTGTGTGTGGTCTGCACATATTGCAATTTGCCCAATTATTTCGCAATATTATCTTGGCTGAATGTGTCATTCATACCTTCCTGTTGAAATAAGCAGCTTCTCCTCAACTTCAACGCTGCGCGCATCCAGTTGTTGAGCAGCACCTTGTTGCTCTTTGTTTGTCGGGTTCCCGACCAAACTTGGTCGAGCACACCAAGGGTTGCCTTTTCCTACCGGGGATCACTGCAGCCTAAAAGGGTGCTCACCATTGCGAGCTTCAGGGCCGCTCCTTGGAGATGCGCCTCCGAATCCTTGATAATGTTGACCCAGGATCTAAGTAGAACCCGAAACCCATTCGGGGGTGTTCCCTCCAAAAGTGGTCTGAATCCCCACAAAAAGGGGACACCTCCCTATTAATCAACCAGGGGATTATTAATCCAGGGTCAACATTATCTTGCAGTCTTTGTGCAAGGGCATTTTCAGGCGCCCCGAGCAGCTTCCCCTTGCTTCCGTGCCTCAGGCATTGTAAACCAATTCCAAAGATACACATTACCTACGACTCCACGACCAGCAGACACCATGTTTTGGGGAAGTAGCTGGTTAAGCACCGTGGAGAAACCCAAGGAAGCAGGTGCAAGTCCGTATGCGCCAGTAACGGGACAAGTTATATATGTTAGTTGTGCGTTTCTGTATTTGATTTCAGGGTTGCGCTTCCCACCGATACTGGGTACATCAAGTTTGTCCAGACATATTTCTCAGACCACACCCAGACATATTTCTTAGCACAGACAATGTGTACCTATCCAGGGGCACATTGTTTGGCCCTGGAGGCGAAAACAAGGGATGTTGCTTACGTAATGTTTATGTGTCCAAGGTTCGGTGAGTCCGCGCGCCATGAATCCAGCGGAACTTTCAGGTACCTTTTTCCCTTGCGGAGGGTCCATCCTTAAGCTTCTTGATAGAGTACCCGCGTGTTTGGGCATGGGGCACACTTTTTCTTTCCCTGAGGCAGACTGTTGTGATTTTCAAAGTGATATGTGTGTGTGTGTATAATATATATATATATATATGCTACCCCCCCATGGACCCTGGTTTTACTCCCTTTTGGGGATGGCAAAAATATATGCATATCTCGGTGTGCGATCATCAAGAGTTCTAGGAGGCAGCTGAGCTGTTGTTTGGCCTTCACAGTGCTGTGTCGCACCATGTCGACACCGGAAAGTCGCCAGCACATCCTTCGTCAAGATTTGCGTTGTGACCATGACTCGACGACTGGTGGCGAGCACAAACTCCTTGAGCTTGCCATGTGGTGCAAGATACTGCTACCAACGTTTGCAATACAATGACCATGATATTAATTTTATCAAGAGTGATGTGATCAGGGCAATATCGACGCTGATGAGAATAGTACTGATACTAGCAGTGCTATCAGTCATGACAGTGAAAAATAGAATGATACTACGTAAACTGCCAAATTGTGATAGCGGTAGTACCTAGATGACAATAGGCTGCGGCAGGGTTGGTGGGTGCGAATGCACGCCAGAAAGCTGTCTCTGTCCAGCTCGGCCCTTTGAGAGCTGCTCGTGCAAGAGCCCAAAAAGGAAGCGGGGGAGAACACAACCCGTGAATTGCTTCTCAACCTTGACAACCGCTCGACGGCAGTAGAATAGCTCATAGCTTCTTAGCGACCCATGAACCACAGCCTATAGAACAAACACGTGACCACCAACAACAAGACGCATGTACTTTTGTATGTCCAGCACTATTCACTATTCTATGCCCAGCAGGAACTCTGAACGAGTGTAGATGATACACACAACCGAAAAAAAGAACACAATACACAAATACAAGACTCCATGCATGAATATGGGAATTATTTATACATTTGTAATTATGCATGTTTGCCAACCCCCTCTGTTTGGCAGCGCAGCGACCCCCCTGTGGGCAACCGTGAGGAGTATATCTGCCGGACCATTTGCTTTCCTGCTGGATCGCAAACGTCCGGGAAGTTCTACTATGAGGCCAAGGGCTGGACAAATGAGATACCACCAAAGTATTTCGGGGGTCTATTCTCGACAAACCTAAACCAAAGATGTAGAGTAGACCAAAGTAGCCTGTGTCCTCACAACCACTCAGAGGCGCGTTCCCTCCTGACTGTTGCCTTGAAGTCATGGGAAGGAGGACGTTTCCTTTTTGTTTTGTGGTGAGCTCGATTTGGAGATGGCCTTTGGTTTCAACCGGTAAGTTTTGCCTTGTCTGGGTCTTTTCCCTGGTGTGTTCCCGATCTCACTGATCTCACCTCGTGCTCGGTTATCTTTTGGTGGCAGAAACTGGATCGCCCTTGGGATTGGGCTAAACAACGAAGCCTGCGCCTATTGCAAGGTTTGAGAACGCCCCTGTGTGTTTGATCCTATCTTGGGGATAAAGAAACAAGCATGAAACCCTGGTCAAAGTGTACACTGAACATTTTGGTTCGGCAAAAAAGACACTAGTTCGCGCTGAAATTGAACCTTTCAAAAGAGTTCCGATGCCTGAGGCTGAAAATGGGTGTGGCGTTTGTTGAGGGCCCTGGGTCAGAAGGGGGAGGGGTTGGCCAGTCATCACCCCGTATCCCTGAAAACCAACTGTATGAAACATGCTCCGTCCAATGCAATCCGTTTCGAAGACAGGTCTATCAGGGAGTTGACATTGCACCAATGAAAACGCATCAAAGCTGAGCGCCATTTGTGGGCGACCGCGGAACTCAAGGCTCGCAAAAGAGGATCGTGAAACGGCTCCGTAGGTCTTGGAGCCAGTGTCCTGCTCTTTGGTGAAGGGTATGTGTTAAAACTTGGATCCCCAAAATGAAAAGGGCGGCTTGCTTGTGGTTGCCCTGTAAGCCACACTCAAAAGAGTGCCGAGCTTCACAAAAACACGAATCCGGAAGAAGCAGGGGTCTCGTAAAATATCGGTGATTTGGAGCAGAATCAGAACATGATTTGTGGACTTGGGCCAAGCGAAATGGGGACCTCTACAACCTCCTTTTGCCTGGGAGTTGGGGCCTTGGTCGGCCCCCTTTCGCCTGGGTTTGCTGGACCTGTCACGGAATCAAGGGTTGAACGAATGAACCTTCCCGGAAGAAGCCACCAGTTGTGACGATTCTCGGCGTCAAGCTCATTCCTTGCGGGCACTCGAATCAATCTCTATGTTTTTGAAACTGGCTGATGTTCACCCAACTTTTCAACAGGTTCACTTCCACCCAACATTCCCTGCAAGTTGGGAGTAGGGCAGGGCCATTGGTTTAACCATCTGGACCCTTGTGCAATTCCAAGTTCTTAGGGCAACCACTGGAGGCGCTTCAAAGGCTTCAAGTCCCTTCGAAAGGCCCCCTATTTTATCTGCTCTTAACCTCGCATATTATATTTTTGCGAATACGCAAGACATAATAACAAAATAAACAATGCTGGGCATGTGTTCCAATTGTTCCACCCTATGTGGCACTCTTGGGAGGAAGCGAACCGCGAAATGTTTGACCCATCCACAGGTGGAGCTTCTCCTCACCTGCGACTCGCAGGAGCCGGAGTTGTGGGTGGGCTGGGCGTCCCAACAGCATCTCGGCGAAGCGTTAGCGATTGGGGTGGGAGATTTTGAGAAACCCTGCCCCAATCCCGCGGATGGCTACAAAAGAACCAAAACAGGGTGGTTCCCATGAATTGGGGTTTCATCTGTCGAGCAGGAATTTGTCCACAACCAGTGAAATGTCACCCTCAAAATCCAAGTTCTGGTGTGGGGGGGGGATCGTTGCCAAAACCTTGAACCTCAAGAAGGATTCCCTTTTTCTACCAACCTGGGCGCTACGTAGCCCAACATGTTTCTAATTCCCCCTGCAGGAAGCCAGAAGTCTAAGGTGCTTGTTTTTTGTTCCAGGCTCCCTGTTGAGCACCGAGATGTGGATCTTTGGGGTTTGCCTTATTGTTCGTCCCAAAAGACACGGGTGGTCCCTGGTTTGTCCCAGAGTCATGTTCTGTCATTTAGTTTGTTTGAGTCAGCAAGCATGCAGTTGTTGTTTATTCAGTGTTTGGCCCACGTTTGTTTAGTAGCCCCAAAGCTGAATCACCTTTCATTTCCCCATCCTTCAGTCGCTAAGGTTTTTGGCGAGCAACACGCACGACCGCCTGCAGGGCTCCTTCAGGACCGGCATGAGAAGTGCTATGTCAGATGGATCGCCGCGAAAAGCCTCAACGAATGCGACGCAGGTCAGCTTAGGAAATATTGGGAGCTCGATGTTTCGGATGTTTTTCACTTGGACAAAATTGCACCCAAGGGAAACAAATATCACTCCCTTACTCTGGGTTCCTGAACTTCGTACTTGTTGGGAAGACCCTAGTGGCAAGCAACAGTTTGGGCTTTAGCCAGTCAACTGAAAAGTTAGCTATACTCAGGAGTAATTAGTCCCCCCTTATGGTGGGGCATTGCTACATAATCATTGGATTACGGTGTTTGATCTCTCCCGAGTAAATTGTGCCGCACCAAATCCCAGAGGTATGCTTGCTTGGCTGTTTGGTGGATCTTTCACGTTTCGCCTTCTTCTTTTTTTTGCGGGGGAGGGGGGCAATGTGCATTTCCCCATCCAGCACAAGGTTCCACGTGTGAGGGCGACGGCCACCAAGAGATCTCCAGATTTAGCTGTGGCTATATGGCACCCACCAACATGGGGTGTTGCGCTTTGGATTCCCTTTTCAATTGGCCGGCGGCGGTACTCTACAAAAAGAGTCGGGCACTCCAGCATTTTCCTTGTTTGCTGGTTTCGTTCTATGAAGTTTTGCGACGGAGTTGTCATAGAGGTGAGGGTCCCAGCCCTTTCGCGGGCCTCTCAGAACAAAGAGCCGTACCCAATCGGGGAGTCAAGGCAAATGCAAAGGGCTCTGGCGACGATTTGAACTTCCTGTTTGGCTACCCTGTGACTTCATGGAATCGTAGACTCCAGGGAGCTGCCTTGTGGGTGGCCCTTTTCTTGAGCTGCAGGACGGACTTCTGCGAGTTCTTCGCCTCTCGCCCTCTCTGGTGGGATTGCTGCTTTGTTGCCAGGCCAAGGGCAAGCGGTGTCGGATTGGCCACATGGGACCCCAAAACCAGTCTAAGACTCTCTAAGTTTCCCGTGTCCTCGTTGGCTGATGCTGATCATGTCCTATCACTGATCAAAAGATCATTTGGCCTTTTTAAGCTTGTGGTTGTCTTCAATTGGGCTTGTCTCCAAATTACTCAAAACGATTGCGGTTTGCCTTTGGCTTCCTTCGCAGCTCCAAGCAGTGCCCCCCAAGAGATTGCCAAGCTGAAAGTTACTTTCACCTTGGGATTGCGACAAGGTGAAAGGACCCCAAATTCTCTAGCCCCCACGTTAAAAAATGATGTCGGGGGGTTGGTCCCCTTTGTGGGGTTAGAGTACAACACCTGGTCCCGGAGATGTGTCTTGGCGGCTTCGACCTGTCCTCTTGGCCAGGTCAGCATTGGTCCCAACAGTCATGGACCTTCGAGGGAACCTATCGGGGCAAATTGGCCGAACTTACAACATGGATGGGCAGCATTCGCCAGTTGGATGAAACCCTAGGTAGGGGGGCAACCACCAACCAATAGGCAGGATCTTGTCAGTCACGCTCACCACCCGAGTAGATGGAGTTTGGGAGTTTGGGGGATTGTCCCAGCCATAAACAGGTGCAGCCGCACCTCTTGCACCTGGGTTTTCGGTACACCCGTCAAATGCCAGGTTATGATTGTGGCAATCCCACGAAACGTCTAGCTCATGGAGCAGTAGCTGTACCCAGTTGTTGCGCGCAGTCTCTCCTCTGACAAGAGCTGGGTGCTTCCAGTTCCCGGACACCAAGGAAATGATGTATAAAGTGAGGTAGAAGTATCTGGCGACCTCGTCTAATAGTGGCTTATCTCAGCAGAAGAGAAAGACACTCCTGAGCTGGATCGAACGAGAGTGCTTCTATCAATCGCCCACCTAAAACGATAAACAAAACCAACAAGACCTGGGTTGTGCAGAAAAAGAAGTATCGCATTCAATTGCGGGTGTGTTGGGTAAAACTCTTCGTTCAAAAGCTGAACAGGTTGCTGGTCAAAGCCCAGCAACCAAGGCAGTGGCAAGCCAAAAGTCAGACTCGGTTTGGCCAATCCACTCAGTGAGTGAATCATGGAACGGTCAGTTGAACATAGATGGACTTCGCTCTTTCAGTCATGAACAAAATCCAAGCGGAATCCTAGATCTGTGCGGTCAACCTCAAGCTGTAGAGTTTGGACTTCGAAGCACGAGCCGATTCCCATTGGCCATAGGTATCCTAGTGGGTTTTGTTACGGTTTGCCCCAAGGCCTATGCGATGTTGTTAGTGGGTTGCTACCCGAAGCTTGTTCGTAAGGGTCTGTATAAATCAACATGAAATCTGGGATGGTGTCAGAGGTCCATGGGTTTAGGCAATGCTCAAATGCGCAAGTCGCTGCGCGAGCAAGTCCAAACATCACGCGGAAGCATGGCTCACCAAAACGCTTCTGACTCCACTTCGGGAAGCGAGATGACATGGGTGTGGGTCAAAACCAATGGGATCCCTTTTTGGGGTAGGTGCACCACCCATGTTTGTGCATGTTTGTCTATATTGTCTATATTAGTGGGGATTGGGATGTTCACTGCGGGTACGGGATTTTAAGCCGTGGCCATGTGTCAGTTTCGGATTAAATCGGAGGACCATCGTAGTTCTGTGGAATACTCCGAAGCTGGCATCAGGGAGCCATGTTGTTTTTTTTCCTCCAGCAAGGAACATGGCGAGCCGACACAGAGTTTCGGCGACTTGTCCCTCACCTACGAGGCCGGGCGGAAGTCGCTATTGAAATCACGGGAATGTTGGTTGCTCCGATCTGAAAACTGGGACCAATGGTTGGGTGTGAAGCTTCGGCTTCGGCTCCCCTCAGCTGGGATAGCCGTATAGCCGTCCATGGGTTTTCTTGACAGCCTTGGATCAATCAGTATTTGGCCCTGCAAACACGCGGGGATGGATAAAAAAAAACTAATTACTAGGTTCTGTTTCATTTTGAGTGTGTTCTAAAGTATGAGTATCAAGGAGATCCCAAAAATTGGAGAAGCGACCAAGGATCCATCAACCCGAGACAGGAGGCATACCATGGAAAACAACAACGAGGGACAGCAGGGGAACAGTTTTCGATGCTAAAACCATGGGGTCCGCAAGAGCCGTAAGTCGTTGTGTCTCACACTGCCTTTTTTCGTTTTGGGGGCGTTGTGTCAAATAAACTCTGCTTCCCAGTTTTGTTTTTGTAAGAAATCAGATTGTGGTTGCATTTCGCCCCTGAGTTCATCCGCCTGACTGGCCGAACCTGACCCACCGGCTTTGGGTTCTCGGACGCGAGATTGCTGGGAATTGTTCAGTTCCAAGATGGTGATGTCTTTGGGGAAATGTAGGAACCTTGCTGGCCTCCCCATAGCAGACAGGATTTAAGTTAGTTTGCCTGTTTTAAGGTGAGCAATTCCACCGGTTCGGGGTCATTTTGAGCGAAAGCCCATGATGCTTTCCAGCACTTAGGGTTCATGTGTTGTTTCAGGCTTTGGAATGACCATTGCAGGAGGTCTTTGAGAGTGTCACTGTCACTCCTTCTTGAGACGATCATCCTAGGGGTGATGTCGGGGTTGGCCAAGTCGGGTGGAAAGACATGGTCTTTTTGTTAGGTCTAGACTGATTCCACTGGTTTCTTATCGGATCCATTTTCACTATTGATGCCACAAACTGCTCCAAAAGAACACCTAGAGTTTCAAGTCTGTGACTTTCTTAAGGCTAGCCGCTGACGTCCAAAAGTTCTTCCAAGGAACCAATGGTCTACCGTGCCGATTGGGTCTTTGGAGCAATGTTGGTTTTGGTTTCTTTTTTGTCCTTTTTCCTGCTGGTTCTCAGCAGGGAACCAGGGAATGACCCCCATAACACTTCCCAATTGAATGCATTAGCCTGGTCTCACAAGAATAATCCGGTCCATCCTTCGTCCCCCGTTCTCACTCACACAAGAATGATGGGTGAACAAATCGGGAGTTAGCATGAAGAGTGTTATCTTGGTGGCTCCCAGCCATCCCCTTATCTTTTTTTCCTTTTAGTGTTTAGTGGTAGTTTCCATTTAACCCACTAACAGTTAAACTTTTAGCGGGGGATCTGAGGGCAGCCCAGTTCTGTTTTTCTTGTTCCTGTCTTGGTTCTTTCCGCACCCTTCTGGCAGCTGAACGGCTTCCACCCAGCATTTGTCAGTTGTTGTTCCTTTGTTGCCCAGATATCTCCAGGCGGGTGACACCATCTGCGTGGCCTTGGACCTGGACGAGAAGACGGCCTGCGTCGCGGTGAAGAATCTGACGGAGGAGCAGGCGCCCGTGTCGCCACTTGACCGTCGAATGCGGGGGGATGGTGAGAGTTATGTGGCTGTTGGTCAAAAATACTGGCAAAAGGAAACATGGACTAGAACCTGCGGTCCGATTCCTAGTGGTCTGATTTTACAGCCGTGTGGGCTGGAGACTCTTTGGGAGTTGGACTAGGGGTAAACCACAAGTTTGGGCTTTTGTTAGGCCCACTCAGGAAGTGAGCTTTTGGGCAGTGCTTGTACACCACTCAGTAGACGTGCCATAGTTGTGCCTTACTTGCCCTGTCAACTAACATGGAACGCACCAGAGTGTTGCTAGAGGCAACTTGTCTTTCATGGCCTTTCATTCAAGTTCCATGTTTTGGGTGACGGGAGATCCTTCGTTTGCAATATTCATATATATTATATATATATATATATATGCTACCCCCCCTCCAAAACCCACCTATACCAGCGAGTGCTGCAAACAGTTTTTTCTTTGGGGGAACAACATATATATATATATATATATTACGACCCTGCCACATGGTTTGTCTACAGCAGTGTCAGCCGAGGTTTCCGTTGGACACTGGCGGCGTGCCGGTCTTCCCGGCAGTTTGGGCCGATGGCAGTGTGAGACCCTGGACTCAGCTCAAGCTCGCGGAGGTTTTTTCGCTGAAAATTCCTCGGGAGTGCCCCCAATCCCCGCTCCTCTCAAAATGACATGGTTTTCTCTCGAAATGGATTGCCGTCCTCTCAAAATGGTTGTGGTTCTCTAAGTAACTACGAGGTTCTGCAACATAGATGGGTTCCCTCTCAAAATGAAGGAGGTTCCTGACAAAATTGACGGGGTCCTCTCAAAATTTGAGGGGGTTCCTTTCAGCATTTCCTGTAAAAAATCGAAGTGGTTTCCTCTCAAAGTGGATGGGATTCCTCTCAGTTTTAGATATGTTCTCTTAAAATGGATGGCTTCTTCTCTCAACATGGCCGGGCTTGCTCTCAAAATGGACGGATGTCCTTTCGAAACTTATGGGTTTGCTTGGGTTTCCAGTCAAACTGGATGGCTTTCCTCTCAACGTGCATGGGTTTCCTCTCAACATGTATGTGTTTTCCTCTCAATATGGAATGGGGTCCTCTCAGACTGTTGTTCTTAAATGGATCTGCCATGGGGGATGGGTTTCTTCTCAGGAACGGAGCAGAGCTGCGTGCTTACTCCTTTTGTACACAGCTGTGCTGCTCAAGATCACCCCACCCGAAACAGATCGAATATTCTGGCAGTCTCCCAGATTGTTTGATCATTGCAGCTTGGGGCTACATGTGGCTCGTTTAAGCATGTTGAGAAGGAGGGACGATGCCTGACTTGAGGAACTAGAGTGCTGCTGTAGGCTTCTTTTTTTTCTCGGACAACCTGGTGCGAGAGCGTTGCCGCGAAGGCGGTGTTTCTACGTCATGTGTGTTCCATTTCGACATTGGAACATGTTGTCAAACTCCCATATTCTAACTCTTGGCTTCCCTGCCATAACATGACACAACGCACATGCCGTAGAAGCACGACGTGAGTGATTCTATGTGTGTTAAGATTGTTGTTGTTAGTGTATTATCATGCATAGCAGTATGCTTGTCATTCTATGTGTTTAATACTATCATTGATAGTTTATTGTTATTATTGATATGACTAGTGTCATTATCATCATTTTTTTTGATTAATAGTGCTACATGTTGCTACTATGATTATCACTGTTACTATGCTAAGTGAGTGCTGGTTGCTATCGAAGCGCCCCTCACCGCTCCAAGGACTCGTGCTGCGTGCCAGCGAGTGGCGCTTCAAGGAGAAAGGGATGGGGGCTGGGTGGGAGGGGAGGGGGAGGGAGCCCAAATGGGTGTGGGTCAAAACCAATGGGACTATTTTGGGGTTGGGGTAGGTGCACCACTCATTTTGGAACCTATTTTAGTGGGGAGTGGGATGTTCACTGAAGGTACGGGATTTCGACCCATGGCCAAATAAGCCCTAAATGAGGCCTTGTTAGGGGCTTAATTTAATCAGGGCTTATTTGGGCTCCCTCTCCCCAGCCCCCATCACAAGGCCGAGATTTGGACTTTCACCTGTCAATCGTCGAATCACCAGGGTGAGCAAATGCAAAGGGGTTTCCAGTGCGTCTTTTCTTTTTTGGGTGCGTTTGTTTTGAGGGCACCCACCAGAAAGACAGGCCGTTTTTGTTTGGCCTGTCCTTGAACACGGTTGGTGGACATATGTCAGCACCGGTCCATTTCCCATGTATGCCCGTTTGTGGCTTTCCTTGCGGTCCCTTGTGGTGCTTAGACCTGAAAGGATCCCCTCCACATGAGTTGGAGGGTGACCCTTGGAAAAGTAGCGGACGTGGTTGGTGGACCCTCCCCTCCTTAGGGGGGAAAACCAACCATTGAGGTCACCCAAAGCGCCCATTACTTGAAAGCCATGCCGCGCTCTCCTGGTAGTTGAATTGAGATGAGCATCAGAAAAACGGGGATCAACAAGACATTGTGGGAATCAAACAAAGACACGTTTCCTTTGCCCTTTTGGTTTGTCCCGTTGCCCATTGTTCACCAAAGGCCTTAAGCATCATCTAGGCAAGTTCGTACTTCTGGTTTGTGGATCGCACCCAGACTGAAAGGACTACTTTTTTTTGTTTTTCCCTTGTTGGTTTTAAATGGAATCCATCACTACTCGACATATGATCTTATTTTTTCCAGGGGCTTTAGCAAATGGAAGTCAATGGCAGGGGCCCGCATGGAGAAATATGTCGGATGTGGCGGTCCCGGAAACAGAACATAAATATATTTAAAGAGGAAATGCAGCCTTTGATGAAAATAGGTGTAAGGCCCAAGGAACAAATGGCGTATCTTGCATGCGTTGCGATTTGTGTTTTGCCTTGAAGGACTCTGCACTTAGCAACCCTGGCCAAAGACGTGCTGAGTTCACCAGTGACACAAACTGGAGAAGAAAAAAAAAGTGGCCCGTTGGATGGGCTCCAGCAAACTGGCTCCTTCCGGATGCTAATTACTCACATGGTCCGCTTGCACAGGGATCTTCGCTAGCTCCCATCGTTTGCAGCTCTTGGAGAGATGTGATGGCCAATGGACAAGTCTCCTCTCTCCCCCATCCCTTGCCTCATAGAGACTGAGAGGCGGGATGGATTCTAGAGGAAGGAGATAGGTGATAGTGAGTGAAGCAAACGGGCCGTTCCTTTCCCTCGTCGCCTGTCCACTGTGTGTCCTAGCTCCCGCTCATCTCTTCACCCTTGTCCACCTCGTTTCCTCGCTGTCAAGTGTATCAGAGATGAACTTAAGAGAGTAAAAGAAAGGAATAGGAGAGAGAAAGGAACGAGAGGTCAGACAAGTGAATGAGAGTAAAAGAGAGTGCCATCCCTTTGCCTCTTCTTCAATGCTTTTCCGGACACAATTAAAATTTGAAGAGGAAAAGCAAAGAAGAGAAAAAGGGTCCTATTTGTTCCCAGTCTTCTTTCATTTCTATTACTTGAGATTTAATGGGAACAGATGCAACTCGCCAATTAATTACATGAAAAGGCAAGTTGAGGATATGTCGGGCTATTTCTTATGACCGAAGGGTGTGAATGTGTGATGTGGCCCGCCCTCTCTTTCATGGACACGGTGAATGATGGCGAGAACACGGGCGAATGAACGAGGACATGTCCCATCCCTTTCACCTCTGTATCTAGGATGTGATTAGGAGGTGAGAAAGGGAGCCGTGTCTTGTCTCTTTCCGCGTTTCTTCGTTATCCTCATGCACTCGTCTCTCGTTCCTTTTCCCATTGCTTCAAGAAGAAGCATCTCAAATATGGGCTTACAAAGAAACATCAAGCCAGCTTGTGTCTCTCTCAACATCCACAACTATATTTCAGGAAACATATTTTTTCAGGAACTGCTCAAATGAGTTGAATTCACCGAGATTCCCTTGAACCTCCCAAGCTAGGTTGCCTCGTTCTGAACAGCCAGCTGCTTTTCCTTTGGGTTTCATGTTGGCTTCCCTCCAGAAGGGTTTGCCCTCCCACCAATTCGGTTGGAACCTGAGAAGGGCACCTGGTGCCTTCAAAAGGAAAATGGTCCACCAGGCTCCAGGTTTGTTGGTGGGAGAATATGGCTGCGGGTCAAAATTAATGGTACCATTTTGGGGTAGGTGCACCACCCAGTTTGGTCTATTTTAGTGGGGATTGGGATGTTCACTGGGGGCACCTATGGCTTTTGACCTATGGCCATATGTCCGCGTGGTAGACCTTTTTTTCCACTTGCGGAGGAGGTCACCGGCGACTTTCGCCCCTTCCTGGAGGAGGACACGGAGCTGAGCTCGCCGCTCGGCGAAGTGAACTTTTGTGGGGAAGCCGAGGTGTGTCTCAAAATGGGCGGGGGGATGTCCCTTATTTTTTGAGGCGGGGGGGGGGGGGGGAAGAGGGGGGTGTACCCCTTTTGGACCCTGTTGACCTTTTTCCTTTCAAGGGAACCCTTCAAAACCCTCCCTTGGGAAGCCCAAAGGAGCACTCTCGTGTTTGAGGGTTCCGAGAAAAATCGACACTCCCAAATCCATAAGGCCTTCAGGACTCGCTGCTTTCAAGCCCCCTCCAGACCCTCTAGCGAGTTGTCGTGGAAACCCAAGCCCCCTTCTCCCTCCAGGGAACAGGGATTCCCCAAATGAAAACGGCGGGATGCGTTCTTGCCAAGGCTTGGTACCCTTTTGTAGGCTTAAAGCGACACCAAAAGAAAAGCACACTTGCACAGGCCTCCCCCAATTGTGACACATACGCATTCAACTACAAGACTGCTGGACACCTTTATGATAGATACATCTACCATCACGCCTGACTGATTAAGCATGGCTTGGCACCCAAATTTGGGATAGCTGACTTATGACTTTCTGAAGATTGACATGGATGCAAGCAGGCCAAAATGAAGTAGCACTCTTGTTCGGTTCCATGTCAGTCAACGTTCCATGCTTCTGCTTCTAAGACACCAGCTGCAGGAAATTATACGGAAAGTTAGCCAAGCCCTTAATATCTGGCTTACTTCCTGGCTTCTTCCCCTTGTGTTCCTCATCGAGGGATCAGACCCTTCGAAGAGAGGCAAAGTGAAGCGGGAGAAAGCACATCTCGCACACTGGAATCAACAAGGGAATTTGATCCACATTCAAAACGAAAAGAGAGCCCACCAACTTGTTCACATGCTTGCAGACGCTTGTTTCCCATTGAATTGTATCTTTGGAGACTGTGGTTTCTAACACCTTTGTTTTCTCCATAATTTGTTTGAGAGCGTGTTTTCCTCCTGCACCAAGCCGTGCTTTTGATTGAGGCTCAGGGGATATACTTGAAACCAGGCGGGGATTGCTCATTTTGTGTGGGTTCGCTGATTTCGAGGAGCAACCTTCACTTGCTTGAGGCGAATCGGCTGGTTTAGTGGCAATCTAGGGACAAGCAGTCAGTATTGGGCTGCAATGACTTCCCTTGGACGAAATATGGTTAATCCACCCATGTTCATGCAGTGGTGAGTCGTATGATTTTGGACCGAAGGCATCTTGCATTGTTTGCGTTTGATGTTGTTGTTGGAGGCCCATAGACTATGTCATGCGTTGGCTTGAGTTTCTGTATTTGGAGGCCGTTTGTCGAATTTGCTTTCCTTTGTTTCTTAGCCCCCGCTTTTTTAAGGAACATGCATGCTTGTTTTGTCTTCCTTTGGTTTGAGTCCTCAACAAAAAGCATTTGCCCCGTGTTGGCCTTCCTTTATGCATGAAGGCTATGCAGTTTTGAGAAGCATCATTGTTTGGTTCCCCCCCATGTTTGGAGACCGTTGTTTTTGTTGTCATACGGTGTTCTTTATGTGTTTTTTTCTTCGGATACATTTGTCGACTTGCGGTTTTGTTTGTCGCACTCGCATCTAACAAATGGTTTCGTTTCCGCGGAATTGGATCTCACCCTTTGCTTGGTTCCCCACTTTTTTGGCGGCCATGTGTTCAAAAAGCAACATGCAAATATGTTTTTCTTTGGGAGGGGGGGGGGGGCGGCATACATCAGGTGCGTTATGCCGTTTTTAAGCCAATTTTTGGGAGCCCATGTGTTCAACAAACAACACTATATACGTCCTTGGGGCTTTCATACATCAGGTGCTTTATCCCTGAAAAAGCCAACAACAAAACATGCTTTTCCTTGAGCCTTTCATACAGATGCTTCATTCATATTTTCAAGCCGGTCGAGGGATCAGAAGCAGCTGGTGCATTTCCAGCACGTGCCGGTGACCTCTTCCTGCTGCAACCCGCTGAAGCTTGAGCTCACAGGCCGAAACGCGGCCCGCGAAGCGAAGGTTCGAGCCCCAGGGACCCACCGATGAACTTGGAACTCGCAAAACGGGGACCCGGTGCCTTTAAAAGGAACATGGTCCAGGACCAAGTTTTGCCAGGTTCCAGGTGAGTTGGTGGGAGAATATGTGGGTCAACACCAATGGTACCATTTTGGGGTAGGAACATGGTCCAGGACCAAGTTTTGCCAGGTTCCAGGTGAGTTGGTGGGAGAATATGTGGGTCAAACCAATGGTACCATTTTGGGGTAGGAACATGGTCCAGGACCAAGTTTTGCCAGGTTCCAGGTGAGTTGGTGGGAGAATATGTGGGTCAAACCAATGGTACCATTTTGGGGTAGGAACATGGTCCAGGACCAAGTTTTGCCAGGTTCCAGGTGAGTTGGTGGGAGAATATGTGGGTCAAAACCAATGGTACCATGGGTAGGAACATGGTCCAGGACCAAGTTTTGCCAGGTTCCAGGTGAGTTGGTGGGACAAAACCAATGGTACCATTTTGGGGTAGGAACATGGTCCAGGACCAAGTTTTGCCAGGTTCCAGGTGAGTTGGTGGGAGAATATGTGGGTCAAAACCAATGGTACCATTTTGGGGTAGGAACATGGTCCAGGACCAAGTTTTGC